GATTGAGAAATTGAATAAAAATAGAGATCATGAACCAAAGGAATTGGTAGATAATATTGCCTTAATAGGCAAATCCCTAAAAATAAACCTAAATACAAAAAACTGATTGAATATAATGGAAATGAAAATTATATATATCCTCTCATATCTCTTTTTCTCATTTCATAATTTCCATACTTGCTAATTGATCTTTCTTAAACTAAATTCTCTCTTTCCTTAAACAGTTATAACAACAACAATAAACATTTGCACTCATTAGTTTTAAGCTTCARTASATTATGTTAACTTCCTAGCTGTAAGGATTGGAAATTGCAATAATTAATAAAGTTACATTCGAGAAGAACGGACTTGTCATTATATATTAATTAAAAAATTTTAAATCAGTGTGAAACGTTATATGTTTTTAATTCCTTGAACAGGATGTATTAAGTTTGGCACGAAATCTGTAACGCCTAGAAGGAAACGTCCAATAAAATATGTATGTATGGTATATATGTGTATGTAACGATCAAAATCGAGTTCTTATATGGAAACTTCTTTATTTGTTTAAGAGTGTTCTAGCTTTGGTGAAAMCAAAGTTAGGGGTTTTATTTGTTTTTATCATTTCTTTTGGGGTTTCTCCGGAAGAGCCTTGAGAGCTGAGGTGCATGCTGCTTCCTCTGTCGTCTCAAAATGCTTGCCTTTCATCAGCCTTTTTAGGCAAAGAAACCAAAAATTCCGGGGGGTACACCTGGGCTGTAGGGCGGCTGCGGAAGCGTTGGGATTCCAGCCTTGTTTAGGCTGCACTTTTGTTACCATCTTCGCTCACACCTTGTGCATGTTCAAGTGCAATGTCATGAACCACAGATGTTGATAAATTTAACATATGGGCAATTAAACGAATACTTAGTCGACGGTCTGAGTTCAAAACTTTGCGCACACGAGTCACATTGCCGGTGTTTGCCGAAGTCGTCTGGTGCCACCGAAACACAAAACTTCTTACTAAAGCCACATCTGGCTTAGCCTGCTTAATCATATCAAACGTCTCTGTCACAAATTTACCTAGTTTTAAGTAGAATTTAATAGCGTATTTTTGCTCTAACGAAAGCTGCGTTTTCGGTTTGCACCACTCWCAGAAAAACGTCGCRCGAAAATGTTTSTCCTGACTATYCAGGTGCTCGGAGACAACTGATCAGCCGCTCGTTCGTTAGCTAGGAATGCCCTCTACTGAATTCARTAGGTGCACGYACGTTYYAAGGTACAGTCGCAGCGGWAGGAAATCAGTCCTATTGCTTTTCGGACAAACCCTGTATCCAGTAGTATATGGGAGTTGGGGTAGTAACGATACGACTTTATCTATTTTTCTTAATATCACATACTAACAACATACCACATATTAAAGGACCAATCATATAGAGTAAATTCAGCCAAATTGATATTAGTTATAATGGGTCGCGGCCACGCCCACGTTTCCAAAAAAAAAATTTCCCACAAGTACCCCTTACTGCGATTCTCTGTACTTAATAATATAAATTTTTGTACTAAGGAAACCACACATCAAGCTTCATCGAGATATTTAAATTTTTACTCAAGTTACAACCTGCACGGACGGACAGACGGACGAACGGACAGACAGTATAGTTTTGTAACTATATCTTATTTCCCATAAGCGAAAATTATATTAAAATCATTATAAACTCAATGAAGATTAGTGTTCGATTRATGTATGTTATTTGATGTAGGTTTCTCAAGTGTACAAATTTGTGACTAAGTATAACACATATGTTTTTGAGAATACCCAAACAACTTTCGATTTATTAGTGTTGCTTTTAAGTGCACGCAGCGAACATGCCTATGAACTTTTAGAAACACTATTTTAGCAATGCATACATTAACTTACATATGTAAGGATGCGTATTGCATGTAAATGCATACAACTTAAAATTTTTGCTTATGTAATAAATATATATGTTTTGTACTGCTGTACTGTATAAAAATTAATTTCACTGAGGCATGATTTATMGCAATTTTAGAAGTTTTAAACAAAATAGTAATATGGAGAAATATGAGTACCAAGTTTCATCAAGATATTTTTTACTGAAGTTAGGGCTTGCACAGATGGACGCGTATAGAGTCACCCAGATTTCAACTCGTCATACTTATCCTATATATACACGGTTTTCTAATTGATATGATTCTTAAAACAAAAAAAAAAAAATAGTTGTTAATTAAATACATATGTTTTTCATTTAATGTGAAGTACAATCGATAAAATTAAGTTTTCAATATACTACTATGAGTAATAGTAAGACTTTGTTCATAATTTTAAAATTCTTAATTTATTCTTCCAAATATTTATCGTCCTTAAATAATCCTCCTTGGCCCAAAACAATTGTGTCAACTTTTTCTTCAATCCTTTCCGGAATAGCCTTAAAATGGGAAAAGCGCAATTGCAACATTTGCTTGTTCTTGTTGATATATTAGATTGTCAAAAAAGTCTTCCGGTATTTTCGCTAGTTGGCGCTGAGAGCGCRTAGTTCTAGTTTTATTCGTCGCATCGGGTCATGCTTTACCTTTTTGGAAATCTCATACCKCAAGACTTTTTTGACAAACTAATAATATCTTTCCATKATGAAATTRTAAGCATTACCGTATACAATGGAAAAAATTACAGATCATGGCATTTTAAAAATGGCCGWAACGACACTTAGAAATCATATAATTGGAAAACCCGGTATTAGTTTTAGGTGATAGTACAAACAATCGTTAGCTGAACAAAACTCTTATACTCTGTGACGACATGTCGTAAAAATATAAAAGTGAAATTTGCTTTTGCTAAGACATATTTTGCCAAAAGCGAAAAACACCGTTGATATAAAGAAACAACTTGGTAAGAGTTACGGTAAATCTGGCACATTATAGTCAGCATTTAAATATTGGTTGGTTGAATTTGGTCGTAACTGCACTTCAGGAGGCTATATTCAGAGTCCAAACACTGGTTTGCTAATTATGGTCGTAACTGCACCTTAAAAGACAGTTCCGCTAGAAAACATATTTGGGAAATTTTGTTTCTGTACCACTTTGTAAAGATGGAGACATCATGTACTTTCTGTCAGTAAATAAAATGGGTAGCTCAAATAGAGTTGGCATTATAATAATGTGTATACTTTAATAATTGTTAATATCGAGTATTTTTTCATAAGTAATAACTTTGTTTTTGCCGTTGTTTGGTCGATAGTCACAAGTTGTACATTTACCCTCCGTTTATCTTATATTAATATATTAATTTCATTTTGAGTGATTTACGCATTCATGGCAGACGAAATGTAAACGCATGAGCKCACAACTAGAAAACAAATTACGTTAGAGCGTAAATTCCTAGCCGTGCCGTAGGGACCCATTTGACCTCGCTCTGTAAGAAGCGTGAATGAGCCGCAACGGCGCGCCATGATACAAGTATTTAATTTCAATATTGTTTTTGTATGGGTAGTAACTAGAGTACGGTTATACATTCGCGGTAATGCAAACCACCAAAAATTGCGCACTCCAAAATTCATCAAAGTAATGAACTCATCGCTGATACATTGTGTCATTTCTGAACTCATTAGTACACTATAGAATTGAATGTATTTTCAGACATTTCAAATACTCCGAAGCCACTGCAGTGACTTCGGTCCCCTCCTGCAAAGTTTTAACCCAATGAATGCCGTTAGACTCAAATTTTCATGAAAACTTTACACAGATATAGAGGCAACTTGCAAAAAATCAGTTTGATATCAAATCTAATTATTATAAAAAACCCGAGTTGGTTCTGGCTTTCATTGCTTGTAGATTCATTAAACAACTTTATTGTAGTAAAATKAATGGTAATAAACTCAAATGGTGAACAAGTTCTGAGTCCATGAATATTACATTCTTTAATAGTTAGATCTTCGAAAAGAAGAGATAGTTATGCTCTGTGAGTAGAGTGTAACCAAATGGTATGATAAGTATGTTGCCGCTGAGTAAAAAAAAATGTAAAAAAATTTATTGCATTTTGTTAATTTTTCAAATATGAAACAAGAAAAAAAATTACTGTCTATACTTCAAATCAAAGACAGATACTGCGAAAAATCTACAAGGATGTTAGCTCTCAAACACATGTTGGGAATATTGGAACTATGGAATAATAATAAAGTTGAGCCATATCTTGGTATCTACCAACAAGARCGATATATACCTATATATGGCTATACCAGTGAGACTTTGAAATTTTTTTTAGTTTTTTAAAAGAAAAGAAAGAAAGGAAAAGACGCGATTGAATATTTCGAACTTCTTTGGGCGTAATAAGGTATCTCAGTATTTTCAGCTATACTTTAAGATTTTTTTTTACAAAAATTTTGAAAAATAACGGAGTTATGGGCTGTCTTCGGAGGTGCAAAAAAAAAGTGCCCTAATTGCTGCCATTACGGCCGAATGAGTAGCTGAAACGAATAAATTCAAAAAGGTTATTAAGGTTGAACGTATTTCCTATACAATGACCAACGATCTTTGAAAAACATGAAATATTAACAAGTTGGCGTAATTTTTAAAACAAAATTTTAGGTAAAAAGTGGTAGTTTTTTTAATGCCAAATTGACAATTTTCAACCAATCGAAAATATCGTTGGTCATCATATAGTAAATGTATTCAAAAATACTCAATTTTAATTTGAAGTCGATAGGTCAATTTCTCGTTGAGTTATGACGCCAGCAATTTTGAAAAATGTCRTTTCGAGAAAAACGCGTTTCACTTATACTATGTATATACGTTTGCACCTCGGAGCGGAACATGATACAATAATATAGCAAACCTTTCTGAAACATTCGATACAAATTTAGAAACAAACATGGCTGTCACGAGTTGTTAACATCACGTCTTCCCTATTGGTAGACGCTGAAGATATAAACTCAGTATATAAGTGTTAAATACAATTAAAATAAAATATCGACTTACATCGTATAAGCTTTGAGTTCTATTGAACTATTTTCTAATTAGCATACCTGGTTCTGGTGTTGTTGTTTGTTCATTTTCGGTCGTCGCGGTTGCAGTATTATCCAAAGCAATAACGAAGAAAATCAGCAGAAAAAGTATCCACATCGGCTTATGCCGCAGGTGTTGCAAACTTTCTTGTGCACTTATTGACAACATTTTTTTTGTTTTTAGTTAACAAAAACTTTCTGCAGTGTATAGAATTTCACACTTCACAAATATTATCTGCTTCCAACAATATTGCTTACATACTTACTACGAAATTGCAAAGAATATTTTTATTTTATTATTTACAGCCTTTTAATAACCTAAAGATGTTTTAAAAAAAAATTATTTTTATATCTTTTCGTTTTTTTCACTTATCCTACTTCAGACATTGACTGAATAAAGCACTGGAAATCGAACCGGCTAAAGAGGTGGAATGTTGTCAGTGTCTTCATTAATTACACGCACATCTTACAACGAATTGAACAATTTATAAATGCGTGCAATTCAAAAGAACTATGTACATTGTAAGGCAGATATGTGAAAAATAAAACACAAACTATAATTTAGCGCAATTTGTATGCATAGAGATATGCAGTATTTTTGTTTCGCCTCCGATATCGGACTATTATAGGATATATCTGTCATACAAATTGAACGATCAAATTCTAGTTCTTGTATGGAAAACTTTTTCAATTGAAAATATATGTCTTTACAAAATTTACGTAGATTATTGTCCAAGGCAACTATACAATATCCGCAGAAATTATTTAAATCAGACCACCATAGATTATAACTGCCATAGAACTGACTAAAAATCAAAATAAGGTTCTTGAATGGAATCTTTTGCATTGGGTATTATAGTTTCGGTGCAACCGAAGTTAACATTTTTCCTGTTTATTAATGATTTGACGGTTTGTTCAAGTTTTCGGAAAAAAAGGTTGTTATGTTTTTTTGTGGATATGATATTTTATAATGCAACAACTTGTATGCATTAAAAATGTCGGTGTTTATGCAAAAGGCGAAGTAAGTTTATGATTCTCTTCGCAATAATTGCTACAATTCCAGGAAATCAAACACAGTAAAAGAWAATAAACTTAAACTATGAAATCCCCTATTGAACTCTTAATGATGCCTAAATAATATTCGTAAGATAACAAGAGATAATTCTTGAAACAACAATATACCCGTCTAGTAGCTTGTTCGGGAGCAAAATAGTTCCACAAAAAATTATAAAGGCAGAAACATTTACGTCTTTCAAATATCAAGGGTTTCAAAAAGTTTTTAGCGAATCTCAGAATTTATTTTAATTTGTTTAAACAAATTTTCTACATATAACGATCTAGTGAGTTTCGCATAATTGACAAATTTAATGGTACTAGTTTATATCATATTTTAATATATTATTTAATGCTTTAATATAAAAGGTTTCTATTGAATTGGTTCCCATGTATGTTTATGAGCGCAATTCCAATACTTTGATATCCCAATCAATTCTTTAGCTTTGTTTGCCCAAAGGTTTACCACTTGAAATTCTCGAGTGCCTAAAAGTATGCTTTAATGTTAAACGCTTAGTAAAGCGCCTATGTTATTGTTATACAACTTGACGCACATATGATTTGTGAGAGTGTATATAACTGCTCACACACACTCAGACGTTCACGCATATCCGAAATACGCGGTGATGTAGAAATGCCCGAAACAAAGGAAAAACCAACTTTAGTTACAAACAAATTCGAAACACAATTCACACTTTTTATTTATACATACAATATATGTATAGATACATGTACATATTTTTATTATTTTCTTGCGTTGTTGTACAAAAGGGCACATATACTTATGCAAGTCCACGCATGTATGCATGAGTGCATGTGCTCATCAAATATTCACTTGTGTATATAACAGTAAACGTAGTATGTAATTTTATGGATTTTATTTTTATAATYTTACGGCTGCTGCAATTTGCTTCCACTTTCTTTTTGTGGGAAGAAACATACTTGTACAATAGCAAAGAACTCAGGAAAATTGAAGGGAATGGTTCAAATATTTTCACGCACCAAAGTTGGAAATTTACTTTTTATTTTCATTGTTCATCATATAGCATATACTGATTTCATATTTTAATCCATACCCACACACACATACGTAGATATTTCACCTTCTCATCTCAAGTTGAGATTTGGCTGATTATGGGAATATCCAAATTTTTGATTACCATAAATTTTCAAGAAATTTTTCTATCTTCTTTAAMTTTGTAAGTTCACATAACACTTTGCACCTTTCGACTTCTACGCCTTTAACCGATCAGCTCGAATCCGCAACACGAACTGAAATCGAAAGCTGTTGATGTGCTTCATTTATACACATCCACATTTCTTTGTTTCCGCACACGAATATGAACGCAGTTGTTCGTCCTGCCTTAAGSACATGCGTCCTAGAAATGCTTTTCCGAACTAACAACCTCTCTTTTTATTGAAAAGCTTCCCATTTAGAGCTTTTGTGAGAACATTGGCCTTCGCTCCAGCTCCACACGTCAGTTTGAAGATTCCTCTTTGCCTGACAACCTCTCGTCGGTGTTCCATTTGGCAGTCTGCCGGTATTTGTTTATTTTGAACATTTTACCCAGGCGGCTTTTTAGGCGCCACCTGATCGACTTTTAACGGCAAAGCGCCAATAGTTTGGCAATAAAATTTCAGTATAGCCAGACGGTGGAAACGTCTTCATCTTTGCCCTGGACGTTCGGCTTGTATTCAGCAACAACTCATTGCCGATTGGTGATCAAAAGTGTGATTTTTGTTCATGCTTTATGCAATATATCGATGTTGGTATAAAGTGGTTGTTATGGGTATGAAATAAGGTTACATAGAACATTACCAATTAATAAAATATATTTTATAATCCATTTTGAGTTTATACTACATTAAACGCTATGTTTACTTATCTCATTGCTATTCTATATGTGAAATCTAACGGTTTTTCCTTAATGCGTTATTCCTTAAATGAGATATGACTTGGTACAGTACTCCCAAACACACTTATACTAAGATACTTATTTTTGGCTCTTTTGATTTCCTACATCTCATTCTTATTCTTAACTATGTTTATGTAAACACGTAAAGTTGAAAGTTATCCCAGGGGAGGATGTGGATACACATATCCGTCTTCTGATTTGCAATTCAGCGTACGAATGCTGTTAATATTTTTAAAAGATTTAGTCGTTAGTTGTGAATTTCGAAATAATTATACGCTTAACGGGACAATTTCAGTTTTGCATGAAGTTTGTAACACCCAAAAAGAAATGTAAGATACTCTATAAAGCCTATAGATAAATGATCAGCGTGCGGAGCTAATCGATTTAATCATGCCCGTCTGTCTATCCTTCCGTCTATATACATATATAGGAACTAGTTCTTCATTTTTTGAGAAATCTATCCGATTATTTGCACCTGTTCGTTTATCACCAYTTGCCGGAACGGGCTACTTCGGACCACAATATCATATAACTGTCATACAAGGTGCGTTCCAAAATAAACATGACTTTTTGAATCTAGCGCCCCCTGGTGGCACCATCTATAATATAATAATAAATAATAATAAACTCGTGATTTTTGGAAGTAGTAATAGTATGAATTGTTCAGTAACATTCGAATTTGCTCTCCTCTACTTAKTTATTTACATAATTACTTATTTTAGAAAAAAATATAAATCGGATGATAAGATAAAAATTTTATTTTTAAAAGGCAAATGTTGGGAAAACAAGTTTTGGGTGAGATAATAGAGTAATTGTTTCTCGATATATTTCAAAAATATTGAAGTGTTCCAATGAAGCAAACAATTCTTCTAAGGTTTAAAAATTCTAAAACCATAACAAACCATTAATTCATACATGGAACATAGGCCCATCACACATATAAACTCCAATATACTGCTATACCACCCAACATAGATCCAAGGGCCCTTATTTTGCGTTTACAGACTATTGTGCAGTCTGGCAACAAATGCTTCRGACTTTCCGTCTCCACATCGCAGAAGCGGCAGTTAGCAGTTAGCACATAAGGCTACACTCATGTTAGATGTGATTTTTGAGCCTACATTTGCCAGTATAAGTGCCAAAAGTAGCAGCAATTTATCCCTTGGAGGATTGATTACGTTTTTAAACCTTGTGAGATTGTAACCACACATTAGCAACTTCGCCTGACGTATGCCTCTGAGTTTTTGCCAATACCTTTCTCTGCCCACTTTCTTCTCCTTGCGGAGCAGATCTTTTATGCTAGGGGAACCGACCACAATGTCCCTAGCAGTAGATGAGGCGCAAAGTTACTCTATTAAACCTTCCACCTGATTCCCAGACACACAGGCTGGAATATGCTGATCCCGAAGTGTGCCCGGGAAATGCGCAAGTTGCAATGCTATAGCTCTGAACGTAAAGTTCTAATCAGATTTCTTGATAGCTAATACTGTGTCTTACCTCTAGCCAAAGTCCTGTACAGCCTGCCTACCCCCGACGTTGAGGAGACATTTTCACATAATTTCCTAAAGCGGTTTTCTTTCGCAGGCCTAATATCTTTGTTGTAGATGGTTAAGTTCAAGTTGTATTCCTTCCGGTTCCCAATTCGCTTGGCCTTATTGAATAGACGGTGGATAGTTCAGAGATAGCACAGCCAATCGTATACCTTTTAGAAAATTTGAATACTTGCGCTGTTCTTCCATTACACTGTGGACAGTTGGGTGGTTCCTTTGACGTTTAGAACTGTGGTGGCTCCAGTGGAGTTGTCTGTTCGCTCTTGCGCTTTCATGTTTGTCCTACTTGCGTTATCCTTTCTTTCGGGGCCGCGTTAACTGGACGTCGTTTTGCAACGGACACGGGTTTTTTCGATCTCTCTGAGGCAGCATTGGAACTCCTACCTCTCACCCTGTTTCGGGATAGCTTTTGCGATATCAGTTTAGGCTGGCGCCACTCACACCCTCCGTACTCAGATAGTCTGGGTTGCAAGACAACAGCTACTGGTAGAGGTGACAATCTACCTCCCTCCTCCTCTTCTTATTGCGAGCACCCCCSGTGCAATTTCTTTGCAGCAGAGCCTGTTAGGGGGAGCTGTTGTGGGGATTGCATTAACATTTCCAGCTACAGCGGATGTCGCCTGAAGAGCGCTGCGGCGGTCCGGTGTTGGAAGGCTCCGTGCGAATACATCCGACTTTACCTCCTGGCTGCAAATCATGCGATTGACGCCGGTCGCATAACGCCCTGAACTTGGAGGTGCCAGTTCTTGGTTGTCACACTCATGCGGTTAAGCAGTCAACTTGAGGAGTGCTATGCGGCACCCCCATGCAGGTTGAGAGGGACCGAAAATTTGTAGGCCCACAAATACGGCAATTGATGAGGGATAAGAGCTTTAAATAAAAACTGAATGTTCAAGAAAAACTCGCCTGGAAATGTTTTGTGAATGTTATTCAAAATTTTCTAGGTAACCATAAAGCGGAAAATTACAAAGATTTAATAAATGAACTTATGATTTCATTTAAAGCTTTGGAGTGTAATATGTCCTTGAAAATACATATGCTGGACTCTCATCTCTTTCCGGCAAATTTGCCGAGAGGTCCATTKSCTTAATGGAGAAGCGTTATCAAATGGAGTCCAGAAATGCTAGCAGACTACTGTTGGATACTTAAAAGGGACCTAGCGGAAGCCAAATATTCAAGAAAATCAAAAGTATCTATTAGATATTAGGAAATAATTCTGTAAGTGTGTCAAAAAAGTCTTGCGGTATTTTTTTATTTATTTTATTTATTTATTTATTTTTTTATAACGGTTTGATGACTCATGCCCAGGCTGCTACTATGCCGGTCTCTTTCGACGAATTCAGCGATTTTATCGCAATTTTCGACGACAGGCCTTCCGGAGCGTGGCGCATCTTTGACCACCTCTACACCTGTCTCTTATACACATCTAGATGTGTATAAGAGACAGGTTGATGACTCATGCCCAGGCTGCTACTATGCCGGTCTCTTTCGACGAATTCAGCGATTTTATCGCAATTTTCGACRACAGGCCTTCCGGAGCGTGGCGCATCTTCGACCACCTCTACACCAGAACGAAAACGTTGAAACCATCGTTGTGCGGTAGAAACTGTATCGGGTCCATAAACTGCACACATTTTATTGGCGGCTTGAGATGCATTTTTGCCTTTATCGTAGTAGTACTGTAAAATATACCGTATTTTCTCTTTATTTTGCTCCATGTTTGCGACGCTATAACTCACGAACGACTTAAAAGAAACGACAATCAATCAAACACGTGTTAGCGCGTAAAATGAGCTTTCCAAAAAGGTATAGCATGACTCTATGCGACGAATAAAACTAGAACTACGAGCTCTCAGCACCAACTAGCGAAAATACCGCAAGACTTTTTTGRCAAGAAATATATGTTTTGATGTCACAAGAAAACATGATGTGTACATTTTTTATCACTGATATATTATTATTTGGTGGCCATTGTATATTCAAAATTTGATTTAAATTTTCATGAGACAAAAAAAAAAATTAAAAAATTTTTGACCAGTGTAATTGTATAATATTTCGAATAGTAACTGTCATTAGCTGCACGAAAAAGCAAAAAAAAAAAACAAATTACAAGGTATTAACTTTTTCTATTGTCCACACAAATTTTAATCTTATTGAATCTATCATTCGTATATATATGTATGTTTAGGTTTGTATATGCTTTCGCAAGTCTCTGAGTAGTTGATGAACTCAACAAAAACTTGTCATAAAAATTGGCTGTCAAAAGTGACATCGAAAAATAGTGAGCCTGTTACGCAAAATAAATTAAATGCCAGATGACTTTGCAMGAACCTGTATACATACGAGGTGTGTTCAAAAAGTATCGCTAATTTTGTGTTTTTTCAAAAATTATTTATTTATTCATGAATATCTATTTTGTCCCCTTCAAAGTAATCCCCATGAGATATTATACACTTGTGCCAACGGTTTTATCTTCGTCAGCTCCTCTTTCGATGCCGTCTTTATCTCGTCAAGAGAAGAGTAACGTCGTCCTTTCGTGAGCCTCTTCAGTTTAGGGAACAAGAAAAAGTCACAGGGGGCCAGATCTGGGGAATACGATGGCTGCGGCATCATTAGTGTGTTGTTTTTTGCCAAAAAAGCGCGCACAATAAACTATGTGTGAGCAGGGGCGTTATAGTGGTGCAAAAGCCAATTTTTGTCACATCTTCTCGGCCTTCTGAGAACTTTTTGTAAGACCGATAAACG